TTTTTTTTGTGTGTGTGGTTTTCAATGGGTGTTACACTCTATTATAGATGGCACACATTGTGCAATATAATACAATAGTTTTTAAAATTAATTCAAGTTCAGATTTATGCAGTGGTAATGTGCTTTGAAATTAATTATTCGAAACAGTTTTATTGGAAAAAGTACGAAAAATAGGAATGTGAGAATAATTTTCTTAATCGTGTATATATTATAGATAATTTTGTTTTCTTATATATATATATATATTTGTATAAGTATATTTTTATAATGTATAAATAGTATATTTATGCAAGTATATGTACTTATAAATGTATATTTATACAAGTATATGTACTTATAAATGTGTAAAGTATATTTATATGAGTATATATATTTATAAATGTATAAAGTATATTTATACGAATATATATACTTATAAATGTATAAAGTATATTTATACGAGTATATATATTTATAAATATATAAAGTATACTTATACAAATATATACATTTATAAATGTATAAAATATATTTATACAAGTATATATTTATAATGTATATAATATAGATCTTATATATATTATAATTTTATATTTATATTTAATTTATTATATATATATAATTTTATTTTCTACGTTTTATATATATAACAATTTTATATTATATTAAATATTAAATATATATATATATATATATATATATATATAAATTTTCTTAATCATATACATATAATTAAGAAAATTGCCTTATATTCATATTTTATATTATGTATATAAAAAACAAAATATATATAGAATGTATACATACATATATATATACATTGTAGATAATTTTGTTTTCTCAGAAGAGAAAAAAGTAATTTTTGCCATAAAAAGAAACGATCTTTCAGGGTAAACCCGCGGTGGAATACGATCAGGAGACAGCGATTCGTCAGGACAGACCGCACGTGGTTACCAGACATTTGTTTGCCTCTATAACGACGCAGCAGCAACAACAACAACAACAGGAACAAATCACTTGCAGACCACCGCCACAGACAGCGACAGCGAGCATCTTCGCACCTCGTACCGAGGACATGAACAAAGGCTTCTTGACGTTCAGCGAGGATCATCCAGGTCTTACGAGTGGGTGTCATTCGTCTCTCGCGTTTTGGATCTCGTTTCGCAACGAGTATATCTATCTCTGTACTCTGTCGCGTTTCCCCTTTATCCGATCTTTGCAAGCTTGACGATTATTCGCGCAATAATCGTCGGGAAACATGTGTCGCAACACGCGACTTCGGTACACCCGATAACGTGCAAGAGAAACGGAGAGGGGAAATAATAAGAAGGGGAGAGAAAGAAGCTAGACGAGATGAATCTCGTAGGTAAACAGAGCTGAATCGTGTCTATCGCGCGCGCGATACGCGAAAGATGCGACGAGTATGATTTGTAGTCGAGTGAAAAACACGATAAGTCCGTATTTGCCGATTTTTCTATTGTTCAGCGGACGAAGCAGGGTATTTTTATTTATCCCTTAGCCGCGCGATTTTCCCCGACACCGATGTATCTAGACTTGTATCTATTACGTAATGGATTGTACATCTGTCTGTTTTGATAGTAATTATTTTCACAAGGCGACGAACATGTCAATATGTTTTTCTCTGCACGTCTCAAAATTGCAATATTTTCTCAGTTTTAGATATATTTATTTAGATAGATTCACTTCTCAACAATTTCTGTCCAGTGACACACGGATAGAATTCGAAGAGAGGACGAATTATTGTTATACGGGTTCGGTCACTCGTTATGGTCCGCAATCGGTTGAATCGTTTCCACACGAAAAATACAGGATGTCTACGTGTCCCTAACTTGTCGCAGAACGCAGCCCTAACTTCACGCAGAACAAACGACCATTATTATCTGTCGTAGTAGCGAAATAATAAACCAGTTAGCCGATGTGTGTGAGTGTAGCTCGAAGAGATATCGGTCAAATGTCGTCCGTGGGATGTTACAGTGCTAAAGGACGAACCGGAGGATCTAACGCATCTGGCGCCTACACCTGGCGACGTGTGCGTCCCCCTCGAAGACACGCCCTTCCTCTCGGACATGCTCGACGAGTTTATCCTCGGCAGCGACAACTATTGTCCCCTGCTCAGCCCCGACGAAACCCTAGCGCCCGAATTGCGCGCCACCGACTTCGCCGACCACCTCAAGGACGCCGAGTTGGGCGACACACCGAGGAACAAAGACCTAGGAGAGTCACTGGCCGACAGCGATCCGTTTATGTACGGGGACTCGCCGAGCAGTCCGTGCAGCATCGATCCCAGCGCGGTCTCGCCACCGCTCGCCAAGTACCGCCAAGTGAGTCGATATTGATTGTCGTTTCGTTCACGAAACAGTTCTAAATATTCGTAGATCTCTCTGAGAGAGAAAAGTTTTCATAAATTGACATTTCCAGAGCCCGGAACGAAGCATTGACTCGTTGGGCAGCCCGACAGGCGGCAGCGGCGCGGACGGTTTGTCGGAGGACGAGATGTTGATGTTGGGCCTGAACGATAGCATAGCCGACGACGAGTTGGAGCTGAGGGCGCCTTATATCCCAATGTCGGATCAAGACGAGGCCCTGGATTTGCTCATCAGCAACGACATGGTCATGTGGAGCCCGCCACAGACGACGGAAAATCACAAAGGTTGTCCGAAATGGTACGAAAACGGCGGTAAAGTTACGATCGATGAGAACGAGAAGAGGACATCGAACCTCGTGAAACTCGCGTATATTCGTACATTCGTGTTTTTCTCTCGTAGGCTGTTGACGGAGAAGGAGCAACGAACGACGGATTCCAGTTTAGCGCAGCTACTGAAAACAGACCAGGTCTCCAGAAAGTACAACGACCACGGCGGGGGTTTGGTGAACCCGGTTCAAGTTCTCGGTCAAATCCCTAGAAAAAGTAAGTGGCCAACTGTTGATTGGCTGGTTGATGGTATCCGCCAGTCAACTAGCGAGAAAATAAGTCTCTTCTATCCGGGAAATTCTTCGTAGCCTCGCCGAGAGAGAGATTAATTTGTCATTGTCCTGTCTCAGATATAAATCTAGATAACTGCCATTGGTCCTCCCGAGTGGACAGACCAGCGAAGCGCATTCACACTGCCTCGATAGACACAGGGACCGACAATAAACGCATCAAGTGCGACGAATCCGCGAGACGTAGCTGTCACCTCGGCCTGGAGGATCATCTACTAGTTAAGCAGCAGCCGTCCTCGAGGAAGTCGTCGAACCTCGGCAACAGTCAGCTGTTGCGTCGCCTGGTGTCGCAGCAGAACGTTCTGCGGAGTAATAATTTCACGACTGAGTCGTTCGATGGCACGATAAACGGCAGGCAGAGCGTCGTTGATCGAGTAGAAGCGGATCTAGATGTGGAAGATGGCGAAGGGGACAGCGGTGGCGGTGGTATCAACGACGGCGGTGGGCGAAAGTGCGAGACGAGCGAAGGAAGGTGTCGAAACGTCGTGGAGAACGGCGACGCGATCAGCCAGATCTCACAGCGGAACCCGGCGTGCAACAGCGTGCTAATGAATCTCCTGGTGTCCGGCTGCGACGTGAGTGCGGGATACGTTTGCTTCGCGAAGCCAAAGCCCCCCAAGAGCATAGCGAGCACGTGAGCCGGACGAGATCGTTCGTACTCGCGATCTGAATTATGCAATAACGTCTTCTACCTGGAACTTTGGTTGGGTCTTTCGTAGATCGCGAACCGCGTTCTCAGCGTCTCGGCTTGTGTTGTCGCCGTGTAGCTCGAGTACACGAACGTCAACGAAGACACGAGCAAGGTGTCGCGATGGGTCGACCGTCCACCGATCTCACGAACACTTTCTACACACACACACAGTTTGGTCGTTGATCGATTCTTTTCGTTACTTCTTTTTTTCTTTTTTTTTTTTTTTTTTAAATTCTCGACAATGTTTCGCGGAGACAGTCGGAGAGGGAGAGCGAGAGAGCGAGAGAGAAGGAATGTTTTCGAGTTTTAAAACGATCGAACGATTAAAAGAGCTTTCGAGGTTTCTAGAAAAGTTAGGAGGTACTATTCGGTACTATTCGTAACTAATGATCGCCGAGAGAGTGAAAGTAGGAGTGAGAGTGAGAGAAAGAGAAAGAGAGAGAGAGAGGAAAATGGAGCGAACGAGGGGTCCTAAGCGAGAAAGACAAGGACAAGAGTACTCAGAGGTGCCAAAAGTACAAAATATTCAGACACAGAGCATCCGAGCGTCGGCCCCGTGTCTTCGCACGACACGGGGGGACGACCTGTTAGGCGAGACGAGAGATGTAACTTCGCTCGGTCGTAGTTCCGTTTAACCGTGCCGCTGTTCAGCGTCACGTTATGTATTCTACTTCAAAGTATATGAAATTGTTGATTGAAGATTGTCCAAATACATTGAACATTGAACATCGAATCATCTGAACTGCTGCGTTTCGTTTCCTCCTTTCTCATCCTTCCGCTCCAGTCGCCTTCCGTCCGTAGACAAACCGATATTATACATCACGTCCACGCGTGGAGTTATGAACAAGCAACGTTTCAAGGAACAGCTTGCCTTTCGTTGTCGAACAACTTGTCGAGAACAACTTAACAAGTGATCGATCGTTATCGATATGGCGCTGATCAATGATCGTTAATAACTCTTTTCTTTCTTTCTTTCTTTCTTTTTTTTTTTTTTTTTTTTTTTTTTTTTAACTATGTCTGTTGGTCAATCTCTAGTAACGAGATTATCTTTAAAGATAACCGCGTCGATAGCTTCCTGTAATTAGAAACAGTGAATACCCTTCGACGTACGTGACAAAATATAATTACATTGCGTTTTTTTTTTTTTTAAATAAACAAACGATAACGAAGAAGACTGTAGTTTCGATCTTCGTATTCGTATTTCTAGTTTCAATTTGTCGACGGTTTTATCGATGCTTGTTTCTCAATGATTATAATAATGCTGGTTAATTAGAGATTAGTTAATTAGTTAATTAGTTTGGATCACTGACAAATCCGTATGGATTTTTGAACCTTCGACTGATGGTATAAATAAACGCGACAACAAGTACAGAATTCAGCTTCCTTCATGGTTGGAAGTGTTTCCCAATTTCCTGGTCTTTCTCATACGAAACGCAGCAGCCCGAAGGAGCGATTATAAAAAATATGCTCGCAGTTGGAGGGCTGAGGTTTCTCAAGCACAAATCACAAGAAAGAATAAATAAAAATATAAATAGAAATATAAATAAAGACAAAGTATACAAATCGATAGGACGGAGTCAGAACTCGCGTCGATTCACATTTTGCCTTTATTTTTGAACGAACTGCGCAGTCTTCCTCTATTTGTCGCGCAACGTTACGGAGAATCTGCAATTTAATCATGAACGTTCGCGCTTCGAGGAGTTTCAAAGAAACATTTCGTCAAAAACAAAGTAAAGTAAACTACCGATCACTATGAACCGTAATGTGACACAAATCGTGCGATTACATATGCGTCTGATTAGTATACTGACCTCGTCCTATCCACCTAGGTACATACATTGCGCTGCATTACCCTCGTCGAGCGTTTCCATTAAAAATGTCGAAAGAGTCGCGTGACGTTTAGACAATAACGTAGATAATAGCTCGATGAATAACAATAATAATAATAATTCGTATGATTCGTTTCAGGAGAACCTGATGGACTCGAGGAACGTGCCGTCGGTGTACCTGAAGAGCCTGATGTCCCCGCTGTCGGTGAGCCTGGAGAATCACCAAATGGTGCCTCAGTGCCCGGATTCCAGAGGGTCCAGCGTCTCCTTCGACTCGCAGCTGAGCCCCGCCACGAGGAAACAACTGTCCGGCACGTTCTCCAACGGGGGATCGATCGTCTCGCCGCCGTCCTCGCTGATGGTGCCGTTCGACAGTTTCGACTACGATCCGAGTATGTCGGCCAGTGGATTGCTTCAAGTGGAGCCGGATCTATTCGGGACGTTGCTCGATCGGAATCTCGTTTAGGCGCGGGTTTCGATCCGAGGAGGTACAGGCCGATTCGAACGGGCCGGGGAATTACTTGGGGAAAGAAGATGACGTCGACAGAGAAGATCATCTGGATAAACCGAGGCAATGAAATGCCAAAGTTGAAGACGACTCGCGATTCGTAGTGTGTTGATCTTGTTGTCACCGTTCGATCGCGCCCTCATTGTCCAAATATATCGATATTTTTTCATTGGTAACGTGCAACGTGCGCCGCATGGACTCGTCGACCATCGCGGAAGATTTCTCACGCGAAAAGTGCCAATGCATTTTTTTTTTTAAGGGGATGTGTTTAGTCGTTAGGCCTGTAGCATAGAGGAGAACGAGAAAAACTGGCACAAATGTGGCGTGTAGACCGGCATTCGATTTGACTATAATTCGAAGCTCTGTCTAATGATTTTAAATATATATATATATATATATATATGTTCAAATATAATATATTTAAATATATATATATATATATGTCCACGATTTTTGTTATACATTGATTTAGATTGTTGATGAATTTGACAGTGGAGAATATTGTTGATTGAGAATGTGGCATGTGTGGCAAAGGTGTGTGTGGCACTCGTGTTTCTATATTACAGCCAATAGCGATACGCGATGGTATCGCGATCCTTGTTGTCGTTGTTACTGTTTTTTTATCGGTTTTAACAAGGCCAATCCAAGTATCAGTTGTTATTACCATATTACTGCATATTATTATTCTGTGCACGTATTGTAAGAAACACTATAAATTCTAACTTAGTATACATACATAGATATTATATATACATATTTTTACTTATATAATTCACCTACCAACTGTAATAATGTATAATTTTATTACTTTACTACTATCGCCTCTGTATTTTTATTATCGTAACGCGTTCATGGTTATTACTATTAATCCCGTCTCTATATTACAGTGTTGGTATAGATCACGAGAAAAGAAGAGTTACAAGTGAATAAATAAATAGTCTTTCTAATACTTCACTTTGCTTACTTTTACAGCGCCTCGGGCGTTGAGAGTGAAAATAAACCAAGTCCCCATTCACCGTGCCGTCGCTTTTGTACAATTATTATTCGCAGCTTAGACTGTGTTGGTTTGCTCTCAATGCCTCGTAAAGTCACTCGTTCAGCTTTATTCGTTTCCTTGTTCAAGAAGAGGTGAATTCTTGCAATCCTTTCAGCGAATGATTTTCTGAAATTATTGACAAGTTGTCGCCAAACCTACGGCGCAAAGATAGCACCGGAAGGAGTTATCGCGCGACACTTCACGTTTTTAATTACGTCGAGAATAAAGCAACATTTCGCATCGTGGTCAATTAGGGGTGTCAGTAGTTGCAAGAGCTATCCAACCTGTTTAGAATGACAGGTGCGACGTCATTATAAAGCGATACATGGGCTTGGTGAATGCCGTTTACAACTGGCCATCCGTGAAAGCACTTTACTTTACTGTTTTCTCCATGAATCTCGCCGGACTTCTGGCCCTCGTTCTGGCCATTGTCTGGGCCGTACGATTCGAGAGAGGCTTCGGCGATTACCTGAATCTCATCACTCCAGGTTAGCACGAATACCGTCTAAGACGGGATAAGGGTCGTCCGTGAAGGAAACTAACAAAAAAAAAATCTTTAAATCCCTTGATCCCTTGAGAAATATCTTCAGATTTTTTTCTCTATACCGTGTTTAACATTTTTCTTTTTTTTAATTTTTTTTTTTTCAGCTTAATCAAAAACTTTATCTGTCGAATTGACGATCATCGCAAATGATTTATAGAATCTCGTTTTATCTGGACTTGTCGTTGATAAAGAGCATAGAGAAATAGGAAACGTAGGAAATGAGTCACGCGATCACTCGTGATTATTATAGATTGCATTTTAGAATGCAGACGCGGTGTTTGTTACAGAACGAAAATTAAATAAGGATCTTATGAAGTCTCCTGCGACTTGTAAGTCCTCGCTCTAAATTTTCATATCGTCGTGTATGCTCTAGGGTATATCCTACAAAAATCCTTTCATTTCTCGTACGACGAATTCTTTGGAATCCGCTTTCCTTTCGACTGTGTGTGTGTGTGTGTGTGTGTGTGTGTGTGCGTGGATTGACAAGCAGATCACGACGAGCAGGTGACGGCCACGTGTGGACCGCGATCATCGTCTCGGCCGGCGTTTGTTGCTCCCCTGCTTACATCCTCGGCGTCAAGTGTTGGCTTTACTTGAAACTCGAGCCAGCCAGGACGGATTTGGGGGATCAACAGAGAGCGGACGACACCGCCACGGTGGACCCACACGATGTGAATCGGCTCTTGTTCTTCCACGTGGTTGCCTGTCTGCTGTCAGGATTCTTGGTAGCTATTCTAAATGCCACCTATTTGGTACTGTTGAGCGGATTTCAGCAGAAAAGCCGCGACGGCTTGATAGAGGCTATCGAAAAGTACGGTGCCGACGTGGCCGTGAAGGCGAGGCTGGACGCTCTTCAAAGTGAGCTCGAGTGTTGCGGCGATGGCGGCTACGAAGATTGGGCTCGAGTTCCCTGGTTGAAAATGTCGATGGAGGAGGAACCCGAGGATGTGGAAAACGGTCCCCGACTGGAAGGGCAGTGGGTATAATCGAACCAATTATCATTCATTATTATTATTATTATAATTGTTGTTGGTGTTAAATTGAGAAAAAACAGACTGAGGCAATAAATGTGAAAGCCTGAGGAGAGTTCTGGAACCATAGAATAACATACGTTAAAGAAATAAAATCTTAATTGTAATTGCAGTGAGTCCCAATTACCATTCATTATTATTATTATTGTTAAATGAAATAAAAATATGCTAAGACAATAAATGTGAAAGCCTGAGGAGAGTTCTGGAACCATAGAATAACATACGTTAAAGAAATAAAATTTTAATTGTAATTGCAGTGAGTCCCAATTACCATTTATTATTATTATTATTATTATTGTTAAATGAAACAAAAATATGCTAAGGAAATAAATGTGAAAGCCTGAGGAGATTTCTGAAACCATAAAATAACATACATTAAGGAAATAGAATCTTAGTTCTAATTACAATTGCAACGAATCGAATAAAGAACTTTGTCCATCTTTCTATTTATTTCAAAGATTTATGAATCCCTCTTTAGAAAGCCTCTCCTCAGGTATGTACGTCGAGCGGATTTATCTGCCTAGATTACAGATTTGTCACAATTGTTCTCCGAAAGAAGACAAATGACTTTCTGAAAAAATACCGTGTTGGACATTGCTCACTGTTAGACACTTTTTTGATCATTCGTTTCTGACTCTCTGAATAACTCGCCATCCCCTTGAAGATCAGTATCGGAGGAACGAGACGAAGAAACAACTACCATGCCCGTCGACGTGCCTTTCTCCTGCTGTTCCAATGGCATTGCGAAACCTTGCGTTCATCACGATATCCTCAGCCCAAGTGCAGTCTACGAGTACAACCCTAAGCATGTGACCATCACCACCGACGGTTGTAGGTCGAAGATCGTAAATCGGGGCGAAGTTATTCGAACGTTCTTGGCAGGATATCTTGCTCTTTTATCCGTGTACCAGGTACGTGTGAGAGGGCTAAACGACCTGAAATGTTTAGAGCAGTGATTCTCAAAATCAGCGTGCCGTCAAATTTCCCATGAACATGAAAAAGAGATACGATTTGTTGTTGTTGTTGTTAAATTAACCCCTCGCGCTGGCAACTGGTTCGCGGACCATAACGAGTGACCGAATATATATTTGTCGCTTTCTTTTTCTTTTCTTTTTCTCTTCTCGTCGGTACGATATCACTGAATAGAAATTATTAAAAATATTATAGAATTATAATATAATGTAAAATATTATACAATTATAGAAATTATTAAAGATATTGTAGAATTATAGAAATTATTAAAGATATTATAGAATTATAGAAATTATTAAAGATTATGGAATTATAGAAATTATTAAAGATATTATAGAATTATAGAAACTATTAAAGATATTATAGAATTATAGAAACTATTAAAGATATTATAGAATCATAGAAACTATTAAAGATATTATAGAATCATAGAAATTATTAAAGATATTATAGAATTATAGAAACTATTAAAGATATTATAGAATTATAGAAACTATTAAAGATATTATAGAATTATAAAAATTATTAAAGATATTATAGAATTATAGAAACTATTAAAGATATTATAAAATTATAGAAATTATTAAAGATATTATACAATTATAGAAATTATTAAAGATATTATACAATTATAGAAGATATTAAAGATATCATAGAAGCAATAAACTTATCATCTGTTATATTATAGAAGCAATAAACTTATCATCTGTTTTGCCTGGGTTACATTTAAATATGCTTAAAACTGAGAAAATGTCGCAATTTGGGACAAAAAGTTCTCGACGATATATTTTTTTATTAATTATCTTTTGCGGATTTTCAATTTATTTGAATGCACGTGAACTATCCCGCAGAAGAGGGAAATGATCGAGAGCCACTGCTCCAAAGAACAACAAGCTCAATAATTAAAAACAATTCTTGTATACTTTGTCATTCGCTTTCAGATGGTTTTGTCGTACATGTCTCGACTACTGCAAACTGCTCACAGCAACGAGCTGTACATAGGCCCTCAAAAGACACGCTACCACGTCTGGATATTCTTCAAGCCGGAAGATCTGCCCGGGAACGAGGAGCGAAGAAGCGAGCGAATGCGTCCGCGTAGGAAACAATCGAGATTGAGCTTTCCGTTCGCACTCTCGAAAAGTTCGGACGACGATAAGGAGGAGGAAGAAAGAAGCTCGCAACGTTGTAAAAACAGGAGGAACAACACGAAAGTTTTAACGAGGATTCGCTCGAGAATCTCTTCGGTTAAGTCGAAGAGCGTACCGGTCGTTAGACCTAGTTTCCTCTCCGGCAGCTCTCGATGTAAAAAACAGCGAGGCGCGCGTCGACTGGAAGAGATGGAGGAGGCAAAGCCGGAAGAAGAATCGAGGCTTCTTCTTTCAGAATACGCAACGAGGTCCGAGTCGATTTTGAAGAAAGATCGTTCGTCGATCGTCTCGTTATTGTCGAACGGTTCCTCGGTAAATTTACCACCGCCGCCTCCTCCGTTTGCGCTAACCTTAGAGAACGAAGAACTTTCGCCCTTCGAGATCGTCCCTTCGAAATCCTCCGGAACGAGGACGAAATTTAGTCAACCGTTGAGCGAGAGCATAATTACAAGCCAGAACTCTGGCAGGCGTGCAAAGGTGTTAGAAAAGTTTGGCGAAATTCGGGAACGTTGCGACAAAAGTACACAGCACAGAGAGAGCGGAGGAGCGGATATTCCGAGTGGCGATCCGAGACTTGTTCGCACGAGGTTCAGCTCGACTGACGTTTACGACAGATTTCGTGGTACTCTTCAGCACACTCTGGCCAGACGAGAGGCTGTTCGAGCTCGGAAGGAATCGGCAAGAGTTTACAACCCTCCTGGTTACAGCCAGAAGAAACTGGACGTCGGACGAAATAACTTTCTAGCCAGGATCAAATGCAACAACGTTCCTCCTTCTTATCGTTTGCTGGCCGATTTTCAACTCCACGAGCGATCGGTTCTTCAAACGCACGTTCCTCCAATTCCATCTTTTCTCCTACCCCCTGCTCCTCCTCCACCGCCTCCACCGCCGCCACTGCCATTCAGTCCACCAAATCCAGTCAAACGGAGCAGAAACTCAGCGAGAATTTGTGGAACAAAGGTGGTGTCGACGCGAGAACAACGACAATGCAGCATCTGCAATCGTCCTGTCGTGCAAAGCCCAGGCTCTTCACGGCAATCCCTTGTCGAGGCTTGTAAGGATGCTCGAACGTTTTCTAGCTCGGCTCGAAGAAAAGCTCGCGCCACGTTCTCGCGGCACAGGGAGTTTCTAAGAGGAGATTACGTGCCATAGAATCGATCTACTCCCGTTTCTAAATCCGTCCAACGTGGATGACGGCTCGTGGCTCTTGAACGACTCTCTCGTTCTCTCTCTTTGTAAAATGATGTTCCCGGTAGTAATCAATGTGATCGTGACTGGAAGCGAGAATTGGATGTAAAGAAAAAAAAAAAAGAAAAAAAATATGTAGATATAAGTGAAACAGAATAAGAGGACAGAAAATGATGTACCTGATGTAATAGTGGTCATCGAAGATGAGTGTCCAAGGTGAAGAAACAGCAGCCACAAGTACAATACTTGATGGTTTATTTGCCGAGAAGTAAAATACACAGGCATTTGTTATAATAGTACTGCCGAAGAATACTTCTTACGTCTCTGTAATACATCTAGCGACAATACATCGGTACTAAAAAGAGAAAAGCTGATTTTTCATCAATTTGTGTCTGTTTACCAAATAACTTTACAATGTTCGCGTACTTCCCCTCTCTCTCTCTCTCTCTCTCTCTCTCTCTCTCTCTCTCTCTCTCTCTCTCTCTCTCTCTCTCTCACTCTCTCTCTCTCTCTACATTATTCCATTACGGATTACATTTCGGCCGCAAAACAAAACAAAGGCAACACAGGAGACGCGA